TAACTTGTACTGTAGCCAACCGGATAATCATAATATGATCGTACTACACGATATTATCGTGTAGTACGATCTGCAGATGTCCGTACTGATCGATAGAGCTTCCAAGCGACGAACTTCATAAAATTGTCGCAACTTTGTTGTTAAGTCGACTTCAGCAGGGTTTCCTTTCAGGTCTTAAATTGAGCAGACAGTTTACAGGGGAATGTCGACAACCGATCAAATAGAATTTACATTAGATGAAAATTTACCAGGTATGGTATCCTGATGTTTTTGTTGTTGTTGGTATAACACATGAAATGCTGGCGCCAAACACTTCAAATGATCGGCGACAAGATTCAAATGAATTGACCGGCGATACTCCTGGTTGTGTCAGCAGAATAAGATGCTCGATAAGTGTGACCAAAGCGAAATGCGGGAGCCCAACGCGGTCCTGGCTACCGTGTCTACGGTTTCTCATTCGGCAGTAGCAAGTGGAGCATCGAAGATGCTGATCGTGATGTGCTCGATATCTGCCGGAGTCTTTCCGCACCTCACAAGCTCAAGAACAAAACTATGGCGATCCTTGCCCGCAAGAGCGTTACGTTGTTCCGGTGCTCACTGTAGTTGGGTGGTGGTAGCACTTGCACAGGGCTCCACGATCTTCCAGGCCCGCCAAACGTCACGGTTCTCGTGTGCACACTTGACGACTCTATTATGGTCGCATTGGAAAACATTCCCACAGAGCGAAGCTGAAGTTTCAGAAAGCTGAGCTCTCACCAAACGCGTCACTCTGTTATTTACGCTCAACGTACTGGAACTTGTTGACTCGTACAGGAGAGGGTATCGGCGTCCAATGTGGACACTGACGTAGCCGGATCATCTGAAGACGCGAGGAGAACAAGTCGGTTGGCTTCGTAGTCGGCAATCAACTCATCCATCTTCAGTTGAACATCCTTCGAATACTCGCGCCACTGTTGCAGTGCATCCTGCAGCATCGGGTGTTCCATGCTCAAAGTCTCCACTAGTAGCGGCAAGTACGGATTCGGACGAGTTGTGTTCTCATCATAGGCTTGTTGAAACGAGGTAAACACCTCAGATAAGTTCACCATGGGAATCAATAAATAATGCTGACACCACTCCACCTTCTTCTGTCCAAGGTTACGTACACGCTTGGCCAACCTGCGGAGAATATCATCCTGCGTAAGCCAAGCAGTTCGCCAGTACTCTGCCTCCCTCCGAGCGGCAACCAGGTTGTTCGTAATAGCAGCATGCCTTGCATGAAGCTGCTTCAGCATCATTTTTGCTTGCTTCTCGCGATCTTTCACACCTTGTGATCCTCTTCCTGTAGTCAACGACAGCACCTTCATAATATCTCCAATTGTAACACCCTCATCGATTATTGCAGCAGCATTTTTAGTCGACGGCGTCGGCACCACAACACCAAAAGCCCCAACTTCAAGAAGCAATTCTCGCACACTCCTTCCCAGTTCATACGCACGCGAGCGCAGTGGATCAGTGGTTGAGACTTTCGGAGGGAAACGCTGCAACACTTGAGCACTCAATTCGTCCAGCTGCGTTGACACAGAGGCAAGCGCATTCTCTAGCTGCTTCACTCTTTCAATTCGTAGGTGTGCCAGACTCAATGGTCCTCCATTGTAGATCTCACTCATCTTTAGCGAAGTGTCCTCGATACGCAAGAATGAGGCTGACAACGGACTCACACGGAGCTTTGTCTCGAAACAGGCATTCGCAGCCTTTGATGCTCCTCGAATCTGTCCTTCCACTCGCTTCAGTTCATCCAGGAGTGTATCAGGCACAGCCAACACCCACTTGATGGGCTGTCGAGTTCCAGTCTCTTCTGGCTCAGTCGGTGAGTCTGTCGCGTTCTGGTCGGCACCAGCAGCTCTAGCTTCTTCCTTTGCAGCTTCAATCACATCGCGCCAGTTGTTCAGCGCAGACATCAAATTCGTTTCGGCGTTTTCATGGGCCTGCATTGCCTCTTGTAGTAGAGTTACTTGTCGCTGAAGTTGTACGTTCTGTGCCTGCAATAGTCTCATTCGTTTCTGCGCAAACTCGACTGAATCCAGATGAACATCCAGCATTCTGTTGTTGGAATTGTCACACTGGAGCACGACATTCAGAGCCTCCAGTTGCTTCACTTCGTCCCGCAATTTGGCATTCTCGCTTGATAACGCGGTGTTTTCTTCTTGCAAGGCTTGCAACGCGTTCTTTCTGAACTTCGACGCAAAGGACGACGCCTTGCTTGGGAATGTCCGCTCGATTGAAATACCAGCTCCTGTCTGGTGACGGATCGTTCGCTCTATCTGGGTGGTTCTCTCAGATGACCTATGGATAGTATCATCGTGAAGCTCGTCTTCTTCAGGAGGTGTGTCAATCGTTGTGTCAAAGTTCCAATCCAGCCCTATGCTCTTGTTGCTGGTGGTGGACCGGGAAGTAGAGCTGACTCCTTTCTTTCGAGTAGCTGAGAGCCGACGAACGGGATCTGGAGTCGGTTTCAAAGGGGGAAACCTAATGCGATCTTCAGCTTCTTCATTTTCAGTGGTGTCGTTTTGTTTTTCTCCATGATCATCGTTATCCAGTGCATTATTGTCACTTCCATGTCGACTTCTTTCGCTGTGACGCGACCCAGCAGCATAGCGTGCTGCAAGTAGTGATGAACTATTGATGCTAACTCCGCTAGCCACACTCCGTCGCGACGATTTGATCCGCGTAAGCAACAGTCGAAACGCCTGTGCGCAGCATTCCTTGTCAAACACAAGCTTCTGCCACGTAATCAACGCCGGCGCTCCCAGTCTCTACAGTAGAATTGCAACATTAACCATCTTGCTACTTGACCCATCAAAACAGAGTACAAGTACGACGTACCGCCAGCTCCGCAGCAGTCACTTGCATAAAGTCCGCTCGATAGCTCTCCTCCTTCTTCCGCGCCGCAGCTCGATCTCTATGATAACCACCAACATACCAATGGATACCCCTAATATCAGCACTACTGTTCGCCCAACAGCACGATTGGGTTCTCACACACACACGTCGTCGAGCAGCTTGTCCGCCTTACGCTCCAATTTACGATCTCTGTTCTTGATATACAGTTCGTCCGCTACTGTACTTGAAGACACTTGCTGCAGCAGTCAAAGCACAGCTAGTTAGCCGTTGTATGTGAGCTCTAAAGACCAAGATGCAACCGAACTAGACTGTTACCGCACCTCTCGAAAGAGTGCTACAAACACCATCTCCTTGACTCTCCATGGCATATCGCGCAGCTGTGAAGCCGACTACAGTGAGGAGATGCTAAGTAAGATGCGTTGTAATAGATAGAGCGATGGTGTAAGCCTTACAAGGTGCGCTAGCCCGGGCAGCGTTGCCAGTTCTTGATGCAGGCGGTCCATTGCGATGCACCGCGATTGTCATATCTGTGTAACCACATCATGTGTCTTCGGAATTGTTGGTGTGCCGCACACAAAACGATCTTGATCTTGAAGCGGGATGAAGGTTGGCTACGTCTTCGACGAGCGCTACTTGTGGCATCGGCCATGGAGCCAGCAGTACTCGTCATTAGTAGAGCCGTTCCGTCACTGGGAGTCACCGGAGACCAAGCGTCGCTTCCACTCGCTGTTAGCAGTGTCTGGATTGTTGGATCAACTTGTGCCAATCAAGCCTTTGATCGCGACTAAAGCTCAATTAGAGCGAGTGCATACCCGTCGATATGTGGAAAAGATGGAGCGACTTTCTGCTCGGGAAGAAGGTGGCAATGCCGGTGAGGAAGCCCCATTCTCTCAGTTCGCCTTCGACATTGCGCAGCTATCGGCTGGAGGAGTGCTCGCTGCTGTCGACGCAGTGATGGACGGTCGAGTGAACACTGCGTACGCCCTCACACGTCCACCTGGACACCATGCTGTCGCTGATAGAGGAATGGGCTTCTGTCTACTTAACAATGTAGCCATTTCTGCTAAACATTTGCTGGAGACATACACGACTCGGATCAAGAGGATCGCCATTGTGGACTATGATGTCCATCACGGCAATGGGACCCAAGAAGCTTTTTACGACGACAACCGCGTGTTGTTCGTGTCGCTTCATCAAGCGAACAATTATCCGGCAGATAGTGGAGCTATTATCGAGCGAGGAGAAGGAAAGGGGCTTGGATCCAACATTAATCTGCCCTTGCCACCAGGATCCGGGTCCGGGGCGTACGAATACGCGTTTAAGAGTGTCGTAGTCCCCGCGTTGGAAAGTTTTAAACCGGATTTTGTGCTGGTATCATCGGGGTTTGATGCGTCGTATGCAGATCCATTAGCAGCGATGATTCTGAGTAGTAGTGTGTTCCGATTCATGGCACATGAATTGAGCGAAGCGGCCAAGCGACTGTGTGGAGGACGGATTGTGTTTGCTCATGAAGGAGGATATTCGGAGACGTATGTTCCGTTTTGCGGCGCTGCAGTGATTGAGGAGCTACTGGGGATTCAAGATGCTGACAAGCAGATAAAGGATCCTTTTCTTGACGAAGTGGAGCGATGGGAATATCAAGAGCTTCAAGAGCACCAAAGGAAAGTGGTGGACACTGTAGTTGAGCTGCAAACCGCTCCCAAACAAATGTAGAACAGATTCTATGCAGGAAAAAGAATCCATGACATTTACCAGTTAGAGCGTAACGACGTCGCCCCCTGCTTACTGGACGAAGGACTTGGCGAGTGTCACAGCCTCGTCGACCTTCTCGACCGTCTTGGCCTGACCCGTGGCGTTGAGAGCGTCCTTACCGCCACCCTTGCCCTTCATCACAGCCATGGCGTGGTTCACCCACTTGCGGGCGTCCAGCTGCTTAGTGTCGACGTGGTGCTGGCTCACCTGCGTGAAGGCCGCCGTCTTGTTGGCGTCCGAGTCGGTACTGAAGATCATGAAGCTGCCTGTGGGGATGATGGTGCTCATGGCCTCCAGCATCTCACGACCAAGCTTCGAGTCCGTGCCGACGTCGAACTTGACGATGACGATCTCCTGTCCAGCCTCCTTGGCCTTCGTGGCTTCAGCAGTAGCGTCACGAACACCGTTGGCAGCGCGAGCAGCAGCAGCCTCCTTCTTGATCTTCTTGACGCGGGTCACCAGACCGTCCACCTGCTTCCGGAGCTTGTCTTTCAACGGCAGCGAGATCAACGCCTGATCAAGCACAGGCTTGAAGGCCGACACACTCTCGACGAACTCGTTGCCGTCCAGCTTGTCGATAGCATCGAGTTCAGCCTGCAGCTTGGCACCACGTTCCTCGGCTTCAACAGCCAGATCGCACGTGTAGGCGGACACACGACGGATACCCTTGGCAATGGCGCCTTCCTCATACAACACAAACTTCTTGGCCTCCTTGGTGTTCTTCAAGTGAGTGCCACCGCAGAATTCCACCGAGAAGTTGCTCCAATTGCTGTTCTCCGGGTCCTCAAGCATCGGAGCAATGGGCTGGCCAATGGAAACAACGCGAACGAAGTCCGGGTATGTCTCACCGAATACGGCACGCAGACCTTGGATGCGCTTGGCCTCCGCCTGAGCCGAGTTCTGCGTGTACACCTCCAGCTGCTGCTTGATAATGTCGTCGCAAATAGCCTCCACTTCAGCGAGCTGGTTGGGCTTCAGCGCCTTGTTGTTAGTGAAGTCGAAACGCAGACGCGACTCGTCCACAAGCGATCCACGCTGGTCCACAACAGTGCCCAGCACCTTACGCAGCGCAAAGTTTAGAGCGTGCGTCATGGTGTGGTTGGGGGCAATCTTGGCACGACGAGCGTAGTCCACCTGGCACTCCACAGAGTCGCCAACCTTGATGGAGCCCGAAGCAATAGGGCCCATGTGCATCACGTAACCAGCGTACGACTCGACAGAGTCCACGTCCAGCTTAAAGTTGGCCGCAGACAGCACACCCGTGTCGTAGATCTGGCCACCAGCCTGCGAGTAGAATGACGTCTTGTCTAGAATGACACCCACACGCTCAAAGTCGCCAGCCTTCACCTCGTCCACGAAGTCCGAGCTGGACTCGGTGGTAGTGAAGATAGCAACCACCTTCGCGGGAGTCTTGATGTTCCACTCGTACTTGGCCATGTCGTCCGTAGCGCTAATGTGCTTGCCAGCAAGTGTACTGGTCTCACGGGCCTCCAGAACCAGCGGACGAGCACCGTTGCTGCCGCCCTTCTTGCGGTCCATCTTGGAGCGTTCACTCTGCAGACGCATGCACTCCTCGTAGCCCTTAATGTCCACAGTCATACCCTCCTCTTCAGCCATAATCTCTGTCAGGTCAATAGGGAAACCCATCGAGTCGTACAAGAAGAACGCGTCCTCTCCAGGCACCACAAGCTTGTTAGCTTCACGAATACCCTGAGCAATCTTCTTGAAGCGCTCAATACCCTTGTTCAGAGTACGACCGAAAGATTTTTCCTCGTCCAGGATAATCTCCTCTACCTCCTTCTGTTTCTGGATCAGCTCCGGGAAGGCCTCACCCAGCATGTTCACCACAACGGGCACCAGCTCCGTGAGGAAGCCGCTAGGCGCGTTCAGGAACTGCTGACCGTAACGTACAGCACGACGCAGAATACGACGCAGCACATAACCACGGCCGTCATTGCTGGGCACAGCGCCGTCCGTGATAGCGAACGTCAGCGTACGCACGTGGTCCGCCACCACACGGTAGGCCATGTCCTTCTTGTCCGGGTCCTCCTTACCGAGCTTACCAGTGTACGGAGCCGCCTTGGTGGACTTCTGGATAGCAGCGAACAGAGGAGTAAACACGTCCGTATCGTAGTTCGAGTCCTTGCCCTGCAGGATCGAAGCCAGACGCTCGAAACCCATACCGGTATCCACGTGCTTGTGCGGTAACGGCACGAGTTTACCGTCCTGCTCGCGGTTGAACTGGATGAAAACGTTGTTCCAGATCTCAATAACATCGGGCAGGTCAGCGTTCACGAGCTTGGAGGCGTCACGGTTACCGATGCGATCGTAGTGGATCTCGGTACACGGACCGCACGGACCCACGTCTCCCATCTCCCAGAAGCTGTCCTTGCAGCCGAAAGGAAGCACACGCTCGGCAGGAAGGTAGTTGAGCCAGATCTCGCGAGTTTCCTCATCGGAAGGCAGTCCCTGCTTCTCATCGCCGCCGAAGTAGGTAGCATACAGACGGTCCTTGTCGATGCCGAAGACCTCAGTGAGTAGCGTGAAGCTCAAGTGCACAGCCTCCTTCTTGAAGTAGTTGCCGAAGCTCCAGTTGCCCAGCATCTCGAAAAACGTGTGGTGGTACACGTCCTTACCCACATCATCCAGGTCGTTGTGCTTACCGCCAGCACGGATGCATTTTTGCGAGTTACAGGCGCGCACGAGCTTGGCCATGGGGTGTGAAGGGTCCACCTGACCCAGGAAGATGGGCTTGTACTGGTTCATACCAGCGTTGATAAACAGCAGCGTCGGGTCGTCCAGAGGCACCACGGGGCAAGACTTGTAGAAAGTATGCGGAAGGTCCTTCTGGTTCTCAAAGTACTCGACGAACGTCTTACGGATGCGCGCGGCGGGCCAGTTCTCCACCGAGAAGGGGGACAGGTCAGCCACCTGTCCCTCAAGTGCCTCCACGCGCACGTCCGAGGCCGCCACGGCCTTCTCCTGCGACGTCACCTTGCTCTCTAGTCCGCTCATGGCTTGATTCTTGCCGTCTAATGCGGAAGTGATGCCTTGTCCAGCGATCTAAAAGGGAGTAGCACGTTGTGATTGGGCAGAATTGAAAAGTGATTATTGAAATTCGTGATTGGATGAAACACTGATTGACGCAGTTATTCAGAGCCGATTAATGTACCATACACGAAGTGACCATCACTTTGCGAAACATGGACCGCCTGCATCAAGAACTGGCAACGCTGCCCGGGCTAGCGCACCTTGTAAGGCTTACACCATCGCTCTATCTATTACAACGCATCTTACTTAGCATCTCCTCACTGTAGTCGGCTTCACAGCTGCGCGATATGCCATGGAGAGTCAAGGAGATGGTGTTTGTAGCACTCTTTCGAGAGGTGCGGTAACAGTCTAGTTCGGTTGCATCTTGGTCTTTAGAGCTCACATACAACGGCTAACTAGCTGTGCTTTGACTGCTGCAGCAAGTGTCTTCAAGTACAGTAGCGGACGAACTGTATATCAAGAACAGAGATCGTAAATTGGAGCGTAAGGCGGACAAGCTGCTCGACGACGTGTGTGTGTGAGAACCCAATCGTGCTGTTGGGCGAACAGTAGTGCTGATATTAGGGGTATCCATTGGTATGTTGGTGGTTATCATAGAGATCGAGC